ACCAGTTTTTTTTTGTACAGCGACGTTTCCATGACTACGGCAGTTCGAGACCATCACCTGCGTTGGCTTCTAACCCAGTCTCGCTGCGAGGCTTATGGTAACATGGCAGTCGATTTTCGATATGGTGTAACCCCCTCCCCCCATCCGACATCAGTGACAGATGACAAAGATAAATAATTATTGCAGAAACATCGAAGGCGAATGTGCAGAAGTCAACTTCTTTATATGTTGTTATATCATGTCACTACACAAAAATTTCGTAAGTAAAGTCAATGAATGAAAAGTATTCTCTGTAAGTGTGATTTGCAAAGTAAGTTAGGCAGGGTACACCTTGCACCATAAAAAGTTTAAGTAAGTTCCTCTTCATTGAATGTCACACCAGTGTCTTTCCCACCTCCGTAGGTCACAAGGTCGCTAGACCGAGTGAACTCCAACGTTCATAGATCTGCAGAATAGCGGGGAAAAAAAATTCGGGGGGGGGGGGGGGGGGGGACAAAGTCTGACAGACGAATTGTGCTCATTAATTTACTTCCCATTTAGTGTCCAAGGCTCACTTGAAATTACAAGGATGTCATAACAATAAGTGTTAATAACACGAAAATTAAAAAAATCATATTAACAGGCTTGGTGTTTTAATTGCGTCTTTTGGCCATCAGCTTTCGGATGGATGATAAACATTATCAGGTATGAGGTATGAGGATAATATTAATACAGATCTTGAATAAATCTTGTGGAGGAATGTAAACTGGATTCATGTGGCTCAGGGTCCAAGTGACGCACTTTTGCGAACACAATAACGAACCTACGAGTTCTACAAAGTGGCTAGCTAAGCGACTGCCAGCTCCTTATAGTTAGGAGTAGAGGATAAAACTATGACAGTAGTAATCTCTGGAAAAGTCTGATAAGTAACGCGATTGCTACTGAAGATTAGTGTCCTTTTTGCTGGGTGAAATCTTTCAATTACAAAGGCCTGTTTTGTTCAGCATCCCTTCTTAAGAGGACTACATTCTACGAGCCACAGGCGACGTACCAACCTCTCAGCTGCCCGGCTTAGCTTCACGGTTCGCTGTAACCATGGTAACAGCAGAGCAGCCGAGACAGAAGAAAGTCTCCTGCACACGATAATGTTCTCACTTGTTATTACGTATTTGAGGTGCTGACAGTGCAAAGTAGATTCAGCGATCGCCATGTCTACTGGATTTTAATCGCACATTTTCTTTTACAGAAAGCATATCTCAACGCCTTATTTCAGCTTCAGAATTTAACTACGAATTTTACAGGCACTGAAAGTGCATTGCTGCGTCAGACAAATTTATTTTAAAGGGAATTAAACTGTTCAGTTGAAACACAAGAATACTGTTCAACGTTTTGTGTGATGAAATAAACTACGAATCAAACAATAAGGACGATTTTAAATATTATGTAATTAGGAGTTTGGAGATGTGTTCAACTAGCAATGATCTAGCGAAATTAAATTACACTATAAAAGACTCGTGGAATATTTATCACGCATAGTGGAAACAAAGAATATAGACCGAAAACTGATAAGTACTTTAACTGGAAAGATATAACGGACTCAGAGTTGCACAAATACAAACTACTATTTGGCTCAGAAATTTCACCTAGAGCGCCAATCCTCTACTCCCAATCTGAAATGGCCTTAAGATGAACAGTCCCTCCGACAGAAAAAATTTCGGCACCATGAAAAGATAAAAAAAAGTGTATAAAATTTTGACTGGAAAGCCTGAAGGAAATAGAACATTCGTAAGATCTAGTCAAAGACCGGAAGATTAATTAAATGGATTTAGGAGAGAGAGAGGTTGCAAGGATGTGAAATCTGCAAGCTGGGCGCACAATCTAACCCCAAGATACACGCCAGACGAGGTCAGTGACCTCTTTTAGTACTGATGATACACAACGCACTTTGGTGTACCAATAGCGTCAAACATAACCTTTTGTTCATCACGAATGGGGTTACGTTACGTCAGAGCTGTCTAACAATGTGTGGCCTGTCTGACTGGAAGATAACGTAATCGCGGAAATTCTCTCACGTGTTTGCGTCGGTGAGATGTCTGGCTCTTGTCTACCTGGTGATTTGCCGAATCGGCTTTTCAATGTCATTTGAACGCAGAAACGCCCGTTATTGTCCGATTTTAACCAAAAATAAAAGGTGTCGACAAATTTCAGAAGATCTCTCCGACATTAAATTTAATGAAAATCCGTTTAACTATTCTCGAGGTATTGACGAAGCTAATGACGCATTTTAGTAACTTCGTTGAGAACGCAAGTAAAATGAACGAAGACGCAACGTAGAACAAAGAAACAGGAAGGGGAATATATGGATAAAGAAAGTAGATAAAATCAAAACATTATTGACCCTTTCATTTGACGACATTTTATCGACTACTGATTTTAAATAACATGCATGGTAAGATGATCTGTGAATTAAAACATGATACAGATGTGGAAGGAAGAAGGTCTTGGCCCATTTTAAAGCAGATCCCAGATTATGCTTGGAGGGACTGAGGAAATTCACAACAGAATCCTTTAGACAGTCACTTTTCAAGCCGAGTACTGAAACCAGGATCAACCGAATAAGAAGTACACTCGACCACGACGCACTGAGATAAAAAGAAGTACAAATCAACTCGTATCGTTTGCAGGGGACGCGTACTCCAGCTATGGACGGAGACGAGGAGTGTCTGCTGGAGCGAGACAGGATGCGTCTGTGCGAGTGTGTCTGGAGCTGGAATCGAAGTGAGGTCACCGGAGGTCACCACCTCGCTCTTTGACCTTCTCTTTCACGTCTGACGGACAGAACGTGCTTCCTTTGGGTTAAACACGTACGTACCACTATTGGAAAGACTTTACTCCTGTTCATTCTTGATAATAGGTCGATTCTTCTTTCTCGAAACATCTGAACGTCAACATTAACTTCTTAAAAACAGGATGCCCCCAAAGAAAAAAAGAACTTTAAGATTTTATTATCCAGAGCAAATTTGCGGGTCACTTCAACATGACTACATACCAGTTGGGTAGATCAACTGAAAAAGTTTCAATCTGATATCAAGGTTTTACCCTGCTGGCATTCTGGCCTCTAGGTAGAGTTTCTGTCGTCAGAATCTCAAATTGCGTCGTAAATGTGCGAGAGATTCACCAAGTAAAGCATCGATTCTTGGTTGCTGCAGGTGTTTTGTGAACGATAACAGTGTCTGTAGCAATAAAAGTATCATCAGACCTTCCGTAAACGAAAAACATGTTAAAAACTCCGGTAACTTTTGAGCAGAAATCGGCGGTAGCAGACAACTTCACATATAAAAATAACTCTCTGGCAAGTCGTTGTGAACTGCCTTAATCTTCATATGCACGAAAAGTATTTTCTTGATCAGACGCCATTTTGCGGTACTGACGACTACAGTTCAACCTAGTCCCCAAAATGTGCATTACACTGCAACATAGACGCCATATTCATTTTCAATAAACAAAGCTGTTGCTATTTTGAAACGGACGCGTCGTCTAACCATGAAATGAATCAGAGGGCGTTTGTTGGAAAGGATTTGTCATTAAAAATAAGTACACGCAAGAAACGGACGCGTCGTCTAACCATGAAACGAATCAGAGGGCGATTGTTGGAAAAGATTTGTCATTACTGCACCAATTATTCCATATTCTTAGCATGATCTCTCATCAATATGACAAATTCTGAGTCCCAGACACGAATTTCTTTGTTAGGCAGCCGTTTGAAATGGTTCGTGTTCCCTACTAATTAGACTCGAGACGTAAGCCCTGAATCATTATTATTTCAGCAGTAAACAAGACAGAACAGAGCCTCAGGACCACTTTTGGTTGTCAACTCGGATCACTGCTCTTTAATAATGAGTGCGAAATTTCCTGAAAAAATAAAACAACTCGGGACATAACAAAAGCTGCTAGCGAAGTTTCGCTGTTTCACAAGAAATAACGGTTGCCGCGGAAACTTTTCTTGGACGTGAAATGGCGCATAATTTTTATTTTAAAAGTTGAATGGGCCAACTTAACAACGAAAAAGAGATGTAGGAATGAATTACAGGCAATCACACTCTAACTAAAATAGAGAAATAATATTTCTTTAGGGGGCGCGACAAAAGAATGTTGAGATACAAAACAAAAGAATGAGAGGTCACAGATGGGCCGAACATTTAATTCACGGAACGCCGATCAGAAACTGTGAACGTGTTAGATCAAAAATATTACAAGGATAAATTAAGGTGACGAAGTGACAATAATTATGGAATACAGCAGAGAATATATGAAGAGGAGGATAAAAATAAAAATATGACATTTTTATTTGTAGAATATAAAATTTAGACTTGTACCATTTATCATTAACAGCTATGTTCACTCTTCTGTTATTAAAATGTGAAGGCCTTCAAATTTTATACGCACATACAGCGTCTGCCAACAACGTATCAGAACGAACGTTTGTTTGCAAAGAAAAATTAAGTAAAATTTACATGTCGGGTTCAACAGATCGTCTTGTCTTTTGTACGTGTATGTGATGGTTTGTATTGATGCAGCCTTGTCAAACAGCCTGACAGCAGGTTGATCTCTGTTCAACTACTGTATAATGACTGATCGTACCTTTAGGGTCCAGAATTGCATGTTCCCCTTGTACGCTAAAACTCTTTCTTTTTTTATCCGAAACTTAAGTGGACGGTTCAGAAACAACCATAAAATTGATTCCTCTAATCGATCTAGTAAAAGCAATTCTTTAAGCTCAGATGTAGGCCTAATTTTGTTATAATTCACAATATAAGCACACCTGTATTTTTTTATATTATTTTAATTTATTTCTAGCATTTTCTGATTTCGTTCACATTTAAATAAATGTAGCAAACATGAGTTTACGCTTTTCTGTAAAACAGTTCACCATCAAGACAGTTTCCTCTAATGTCCTGCTAAATGTATCTAAATTCAGTCAAAAAATTTCCAGTCTTTTATGGAAAAAAGTTTACTTTCGTGTCCAAAAATGTCCACCACAGTCCATTCCCTCCCGCCCTGCTTTAACACAATTCTCCCATCTACGTCTAGGTCTTCAAAGTGTCATCTTCCATTCAGGATTTCCGACCATAATTTTATATCCAGGTCTCATCTCCCCCCTGCGTGTTACATATCCTTACTATATCATTCTTCTGAACTTGATCATTACAATAATCAGATAATGTAAAATATGTTGGACATTACCAAGTATGAAGCTTGCAGGAGATAAGAAATGAATACAAAATAAAATTCGGATAACCTGAAGGTAAGCGACCATTTGGTACATTTTAAATGTCTCACAAAACATAATATTTGTAATTTCAAATATTTTCTTCATTAGTGAACCCTATTAAAATTACACATGTGACGTTTGTACCTTATATTTTTGAAGCACCAGTTTGGTTTTTGACTGTTGGATTATCTTCACCGAAATTTTCGACAGCATTCTCGGCTCTTTGAAGCATTGAAAAGCCATTTCCTCTGTCTCGCTTCTCAACTGACTTTCTTAACCTCCGCCATTATAGAACATAAGCAGCGAAATGATGTACTAATTATGTCTTCAGATAGGAACAAAGTAAACTTATTGTGAGTGAAATCTGTCAGCAGCTGAACCTAACCACACGCCCGGTAAAGTAGAGTTTTGGACACCTTGCAGCTGACCACAAAATAGCCTGACGTTTAACAAACGAGAGTCTATACGAAACCACAAGGAGAAAGGTGCAATTAACTAGCAACTTTGCATATTACAATGTATGAGACCGCAGAAGGGCTAACTGAGGGCGGCAAAAATTATAACATTCGCCTAATGGCAAGTGGGTTCTTCGCGTCTGCTTCTTCTTGCAGAAAATAGTGCAATTATGACGGCATCCAAATCAGACCTGCTTGCCCGAACATTTTAACCGAATGACTAGCTGAATAAGTACTAAACAAAGCAATTAAATGAACAAATAGGCCAATAAACAAATGATCGTCATCAAGGGTTAAATAAACCCTTCGTCTCTTTCACTTACAAGAGTGAAATTTATACCACCCATATTTTAGCGCCATCTTCGCCAAGTTCAATTTAGTGTGTGTGTGTGGGGGGGGGGGGGATTCGCTTTTCATACTCAGGTTCAAAATGTTATAGCCATTTGTTTTGAATAGCTTCATTTTATTATTGTATTAACACGTTACAGAAGAAGGCAATGGCAAACCACTTCTGGATCATCTGCCAAGAACGTATATGAACAGGTCCCAGTCCGAGAGAAGGATGGAAGGATCCTGTTCATATGGACCTGTCGTCAGACAGAACACTACAAAATAAAAAAAATAAATTAACACGTTATTACTTGATCTTCTCTAGTATATGGAATTACCTTTAAGATCCATAATTCAGTACAGTAAATTACCAAACAAAGAAAAAGACTATAAGGATCACAATAGCTACGTGTTGTCAGGAGTGCCAGGATTTGTATCCTCAAAACACTGGATGGGTTCCAGAACCGGTTTGTGCATTGGTGGGAGTCGAACGCCGGTCCCCCAGCCCATAATCTAATTATTATTCTGACCAAGCTATCTCATTTGTTCATAAAATGTGATATATGACGTCAAATACGTGTTTAATTATGTCATGTAGACTTAACTCTCATGTAAAAGAAAAATATGTCGATATAAGACTTAATTTTATATGAAATTAAAAGAAAAATAACTTATGCCCTTTTGTCGTGTAATACATGCACTGTTTATAATATGTATATGTAATTAAAGTACGTAAATATGAAGACCAACAAAGGATAAAACGCGTTGGTTAATGCCTGCGTTTACATTTATCTCCATCTACAATCAAGATCTAATTTTAGGAATTATTAAAGCAAATGTTTTCTGGGAAGTCCGTTACGAAGATTTGAATTGCGATGTGAAGACGAGTTAATGAAAAGGTTGCTAATAATAACATCTGGCTTCTAGCCGAACTCACACCTGTGAAATAGCACCCCTCGCCTTCCCACAGTCAACATAATAATAACAGTCGAAATTCGCATGGCGAGTTTCTGCTGAAACCGTTTACCCACAGTGCAATGTGCTTCTACAAGGCAACCCATGGACACGTGGCTGCGCCGCGCGTGTCTGTTGATAGGAGCTGGTAGCAGGGCGGATTTGTGCCCGAAAACTTGGCCATTACGTTTGTGTTGTGGCTATGTTAGTTGCGAGGTTATTCGGTGTCGAGTGTAATGAGAGGTCGTCTGTGAAGGCCACGTGCAGTGGATGCGAAAGTGTGTGGATGGGAGCAGACATGGCCTATTTTAAGATACATCACTGCATTCCACTAGAACTGATGAAAACGACGACAAAACCTCGTAGTACCGCAGTTAAGGCAAAGACTATCGATATGAATAATTGTTAATTCTCTTACTGCCATCTGTTTACCTCTATAGGCCTATTTAGAGGCTTTAGTTTTGTGTCGAAGTCCTAATCCCAGAATAAAAGCCAAACGCAATGCTTGTGTCCATGATAAAAAGAGCTGATTTATCAATGATTGGAATTTCGTAGTCCGAAGTCCGTCAATTCGTGTCTGTCGGCCTGCATGACCCTTGGTTCAATTACCGACATTGGTATGGTAGCTTACAGAAATTAATTGGCCGAATTTAATTAAAGCCGGCATGAAGAGAATGTTATTGCTTTCAATGCCCCGACGATCAGAGATCTTTCAAAAATAATCAGCTATGATTGTGTAATGTTTAGTAAAACATCACAAATGTGAAACGTGTTATGGTCTGACGACAATACCTGGTTAATACGTTTTCATGCCATAAAACTAAGACGACAGAAAAGTCTTTTATGTAAGTTA